TCCTCTCTCTCTCTCTCTCTCTCTCTCTCTCTGTCTCTCTCTCTCTTTCCCTCTCTCTGTGCGACCCTCTCTACCTCTTCCCCGAAGAAGGGTCAAGCGACAAAACAAAACAAAAACAACCCAAAACAGCAACAACAGCAGTGACAGACGGGCTAGATAATTAGTTTTACAGAAGAAAATACAGCAACTGTGCGGGTGGTTGGAGAGTGTCACCGGTAGATCCCACTTCTTCTGTTTCCCTCTTTTGTGTGTGTGTGTTTGTCTGTCTCCTTTATCCCCGGAATCGGGTGACCGTTACTTTGGCCAAGCACATCTCTTTAGTCACACAATGAAAGCAGTAGCTACAGATCTATATTTACTCCCCCATCCCCTTCCGGGGCAGTGCCACTGGCTCAAGTGTCATTAGGCCATTCCGAAAGGGGGGGGGGGGCATTTCTCGTTCTTATACACATTAGAATTGTAAATGGGCTGATTCAACAATGTCATTCTCATAACGGAGCCCGAACTACAACAGGGAACTGCTGCTTTTTCTTTCGTAATCTTTCCCATCGTCATTTTCCTCTACTTCTTTGTATGTTTGTCTCACTCTTGTGACCACTATTCCCGGGGTGGCTTGAAAGTCAAAACAGACTTTGTGCTGTTAAAGCTAGATAGGTGAACAGAGTAAGCCCGATTCCCTGTAAAGATTTCTTTGTTGACATCCACCCCTTGGCGCTCATATGACCTTATGCAGTTGCGAGCGCCGTAAAACTTCCACTAAATAATAATTTTAAAATCGATATTTTACTAACAGACATGTAATTACAAATGCATATATACATGTATATGCTTTTAAGCCCTCATTTACACATTTAAGATCATCAAGGAGGCGGGCGGGCTTCTAGGCTTGCCTGCCAAGGCCAACCCGGCTGAGAGGGATACACCCACCCAGCAGAAAGACCGAGATACTCGATAAAAATTTATCTCCACTTAAAATTTGAACTGGGATCTCCTGCGTAAGACAGTGTAGCGCTTAACTACACCAGAGAGGCCGGTGTTTAAATCTCTGTATGTTTCTGTGCAGGTGTAAATCCAAATGGAAGGACGCCGTTCGGTCGCACCCCAGCGTTTGCCGCGGCCTACAAAGACAACGATACCATCCTGGAATGTCTGCTCACTCACGGTGCTAAGTTGTCGTTCAAGGACTCGCGGGGCGACACATGCATGGACCTGGCCCGAAGAAATTTCTCTCGTCAGTGCATCAACAGAATACGGACATTCCAGCTCGTCAAAAGAGGACATTCAAACTCACGCAGTAAATCCCCGAGTCTAGTAGGACCCACCCCCTCCCCTAGAGCGAACCGCAGCGATTTGAGGAGCGTTGACGGAAGTGTGACGTCCTCCTCAAGAGATCGGCCCCCAGCAATGGCGTCAAGTTTCAAAACCCCGCCACAGTATAAGACCGAGAAGTTTTCAGAACGTAGTATGGGTAGTACGTCATTGGAGCAGGGGAGGAAATCTCTGATTCGCGCAGATACAAACAGACTGACGTCCTCGCAGGATTCTCTGCCAGCGCGACAAAACTCCGGCGTGACCTCGCCATGCAAGGGCTCAGTAGACGGCCCCGGTTGCTTCCGACAAGACGCCCCGACAAGACAACAGGCTGTTGGAGTTCGATTCCGAATAGCCGTACCGCCTGTTACTGATAAACCCTCCACAAATAGCCCCCGCCCACCCAGTGTTCTGACCCTGAGCGACGCTTTCACGTCTTCAGAACTCATCACCATCAAACCAGCGCGCAGAGAAGGCAAGTTCCAACCACAGAAGCCAGGGGGGTACCAAGCAAGCAGCGCGCCTCATGAAATACAGTGGTACCATCATGAGTCTGTGTTGAAAATTCCGAACCCTGAACCCCCTGAGCGACCGTCGACAGCGAGAAGTGTTCGGACAGTGTCGTCCATTATGTCTGCTCCAGGAGTGTCCAGAGACGCTACCACCATGACGTCAGACAACCGGAGTGTGGAGAGTGCGCCTCACTTCACGCCCACCGACGCGCACGACTCGGAGACTGACAAAGGTTCAAGGAACGTCACTTCCGGGAAAAGGTGAGTGTTCTTTTACAGTGACGTCATAGATTTAATAATCCATTATATTATTATATAAATTTGTGAAAGTTCGTCTTTTTGGTAGCTTTCGATTTGAAAAAAATTAACAGGGGTTCAGAATCATTTAAAGGGTGCACAGATACATAAAGGAGTCTGAAGTCACTGTAGTTTAATTTTCAGTTTTTCCTTAGTTTTGTTTAGATCTCATCTTGGGGAAATCCGTCTTCTAAGACGCATAAACTATGTGTGCTTTGATGTCCCGATGGTAAGTGTACACCCTGCACTCTGGTTCGTCCCACGAAGCCTCTGGCTGTAAAGTGGCACTAAAAAAGGCAGTCTAAACTGATATAATTTTTATTTTCTGTCGTTTCATTTCAGATACCTACTGGTTTCCCGTCAAAAGCAACACGAGAGCTGGAAGACCGCCAAGCGTCGTATTCGGTTGGCGGAGCAGCAGAAGCGCTCGTCTGGCCAATCAGAACTCAAGAAACGCGAGACATTTGACGAGTGGCTCAACCGGAAACGGATGGCGAAGCGACAGGAAAGTTCCGAAGGTGAGTCTGGGGACAGTGAAAGCGACGAGGAAAAAAACGCCAACGCCTTTCAAGAGTGGTTGAAAGAGGTGCGGCTGCGACCCGGCAGTGTGGAGAATCCAAAGTCTGCTGTGCACCTGCAGAAAAAGAAAAGCAGGCCTCTGAAAGGTCTGATAGAGATAGAGAAGTTGGGAGGGGTTGGCGAACGACAGAACAGTCCTAAGCCATCTTCGTACATGAACGCGCTGAACGAATGGCGTGCGAGGAAAAAGAAGATGACGGAAAGTGAAAGCGAGAAGATAAATGACGCAGTGGGGGCGAAGAAAGCTCTAGAAGAAAAACGACAGAAACTTCTAGCAATGGCGATAACTTACGACGAATGGATGGAGCATACAGAAGAGAGGAAAACGCTGATGAAACTCATTTTGCAAGCAGACAAGAGGGAGCTAGAAGAGTTGGAAAAAACTCGATTTACGAGCTCAAGTGCAGGGAGGGCAATGACCTTTCAACAATGGCGGGAGAAAACCGAGGAGAGAGAACGCAAGCAGAAAGCTGAGCAGCTGCGCCTTCGCAAAAAACAGGAAGACGAGAAGAGAGAGGGCGGCAGGAATAGCACCGCTTTGTCGCACCAAGAATGGGTCAGTTGGAAGTCTTCTCACCAGTCAGCCAAACCTCAGCCACAACATCAGCAGCAGAACCGACTTCAACAACAGCATCACCACCAAAAGAAACAACAACAACAACAGCAACAACAACTACAACAACAACGAAGTACTTCGGCAGTTCTCCAGCAAAACGAACTGCCACAGCGGCCGTCAGCTGCCGTCCGAAGAGCCCCGGAAGACGTCACTTCCGGGGACGACTCCGCCTTCCGGTCCTGGGTGAACCGGAAGTATAAGGAGGAGGCAAGTCGAGTGGAGGCTAACATCAGACGGGAACGACAAATGGTCCTTGCTCTGAGGGAGAAGAGACAGACAGCTGAAGTGGTTTAGCGGAAAAGTAACTATAGAAAGTGTGCGTGCAGGTTAAGTGTGCAAAGAAGATAATATGAACAGTTAATTTATTTGTAAAAAACAACAACACTAAAACAAACAAACAAACCTAAAAAAAAACCCACATTAATTCGCCTCTGTACTGTGCTTGAAGTGTAATCATTTAATAAACTGTCCGTTTGTGAATGGGCTACCTAGTGCCACACGTTTACATAATTATTTATTGTGACGCTTTTGAGAAAATGGATGGGGAAAAAGAGAAACCACATACCTCATACAAGTGCGTTTGTTAGTTTGTTTGTTTGTTTGTTTGTTTGTTTTGTTGTTGTCTGTTTATTTGTTTGTTTGTTTGTTTTTCTGTGTTTGCTCATACGTAACCCCGCCCCTTAAATAACCTAATAGTGTTGATAGGGGCGTTAAACCTATACCATTTCATACGTAACCGCATAAGTAGATTAGCTCTACATCTTCTATATGATATGTGTTGGATTTGATGTGGTGGTGTTCGTGTTCGTGTAACTGTGTGTTGGTGTACCGTGTGTGTGCGGGGTGGCTTTTTTGTATGTGTATATGTATGTATGTATGTATGTATGTATGTATGTATGTATGTATGTATGTATGTATGTATGTATGTATGTATGTATGTATGTATGTATGTCC